GCAGGAACAGAAGGAGCAGGAGGTTGATTTCTACAAAGCACGTGAAACAGGATCCTCGCCGACTACAAATGATCTCATTGGGCGCGGCAAGGATAAGGAGTTTGTTGTGCAGTGGTTGAGGAATTTATCAAATGAGCCTCGGACAACTGATTTGTACGGAAACATTTCTCTTCTATCTATAGTGGGACATGGTGGTATGGGGAAGACAACTCTATTGCAACATGTCTATGAAGATGAAATTACAAAGGAATTTGATCTGAAAATGTGGGTTTGCGTTTCCAACAACTTTGATGTGAAAAAAGTCATTGCAGATATGTTATCAACTCTTAAGAAGAAGAGGCCTCGTTTGGACGAATCACTTGATGCACTTCAACTTAGTCTTAGGACTGAAATTATGTCCAAGAAGTTCTTACTTATTCTGGATGACATTTGGCAGCAGGAGGAGGAGAACCGGGATATCAGCAAATGGGAGAAGGTGCTCGCCCCTCTGGCTTATGGGAAAATTGGTGGTGGGATTTTGGTAACAACTCGAATGGACTCTGTTGCAACTATGATAGCAAAGGTGATTAAAACGAAGAAGGAAACAATCAAATTAAAGGGCTTGGAGGAAGATCAGTGTTTGCAGCTCCTCAACTCTCATGCATTTGCTGGTGTAGAGAACCCCCCTGGTGCTCATAAAAAATTAAAAGCCATTGCTGGAGAGATTGTTAAAAAGATTTCAGGATCTCCATTGGCCGCAAAGGTCATCGGTGGTGTTTTGAATTCTAGTTTGGATGAAAGACATTGGACAAAAGTTTTAAGTAGTGATTTTATAAGTCCAAAATCAGGTCAAGATGACATCTTGACCATTTTAAGACTGAGCTATACGTTCCTCCCAAAACATCTACAAAATTGTTTCACATTTTGTTCTATATTTCGACAAGATCATGAGTTTTATAAAGATGATTTAGTCCAAATGTGGATTGCATTGGGTTTCATTCAGCAACCTCATGATCAAGAATGGACTATAGAGGATATTGGAGGAAGCTATTTTGATGATTTGGTTAAAAAATCTTTCTTTGATAAGTTTGATTCAGAGTTTGGAGGATGCTACTACAAGATGCATGATTTAATACATGCATTGGCACAATCAATTTCCATGCATGAATGTTTAAGAGTTGAGGATGGTACAAAGTTGCCTTCTATAATTCCTAAGACACTTCGACATTTGTCTATTGAAACTACAAATCTAGACATCATAAAAAAGATTGGGCAGGTTAAATATTTGCATTCTATTTTCTTGATCCAAAAAGCTTCTAATCAGGATATTTCCAGCGCACTTGTTGAAATTTTAAAAGCATCGAGAAGCCTACGCTTATTAGAAATATCTGCTCTATCCTTGGAAATGATACCTGAGGAGATTGGGAATTTGATACATCTTAGATATTTGTGCATTTTAGATGGGAAGTTTACTATGCTGCCAAGATCTCTAAGTACTCTCTATCACCTGCAATACTTAACCTGTAGCGGATTGAGAGAAAGCCAACCTAAAGTTGATTCTTTACCTCGTGACATAAATAACCTTTCTAACTTGTGTTACTTGAGGTTGCCCCAGAATTATATTTCATTGATATGTGGGATTGGGAAGCTAAAGTTTCTTCAAGAATTGAATATTGATCTTAGAGATGTGATTGGTTATGGAATTGGAGAGCTGGAGAATATGAATGATCTTTGCAAATTAAGTATCAATTGCCTTGAAAATATTAAGAATGTGGAGGAGGCTTGTAGTGCCAAATTACGTGCCAAGACGAGGCTCACAGATCTAACATTATGTTGGAGTAACACTGATTCGAGGAACATCGATTTAGATGAGAACATGCTCGACAACCTTCAACCACCAACATGTCTAAGGAATCTGAGCATAGACAGCTACATGGGTGTAAGGTCTGCAATATGGATGAACGTGCTCAACAATCTAGAGAAAATCGAATTGTCATATTGCTTGGAGTGTGAATCTCTTCCACCTTTTGGGCA